GTAGACCTTTCTCAGATTTGTTCATTTGTGATGATATCTTCAGTTCTCTAATTTTGGTGAATATTTTTGCCATTTTTGGTAAAAAGTGATATTTTCGACTTCTTGTTGAAAACTGTAAGTCCGATTACTTTGATATTACATATATAGGTACTACATGTGGAACTCTCTCAGATTTGTTCATTTTGTGATGATATCTTAATTCTCTAATTAATTTATTTTGGTGAATATTTTTGGAATTTTTGGTAAAAAGTGATATTTTCGACTTCTTGTTAAAAACTGTAAGTCCGATTGCTTTGATACTATTCATATTGTTCATTTTCTATTGATGTCTTCAGTTCTTTAATTGAAATGTGCATTGCTAACAGCGGAGCTATCTCAGCCGATAGGCTGCTTGTTTAGAATACAGGTTATCCTACAAATGTACCATGTTGTCCTCTGACATGCTAGGTCAAGAATGCCATTAACCAATTAGAATACAGCATGGTACTATGGCATCCTAGAAGCAAAATTGTATTATTTTACCTTATTTGCACAATAAATGTTTTCACAATGTCAGGATTCATGTCAATAATAATATATGACTTTTTCATTCCATGTCAACAAGCAAAATTTTGAGATATGAATAAATAATATCACCATAGAAACCATTGTAAAGAAATTTGGACACTCAAAAAAATTATCCTGTTCCCCTAATTGTTTTTCATTTTCGGTATCCTGATGACATGAATCAACCATAATAAAAGCATGATGAACGTGATATGTATTGTGTGATCTTCAATTCGACTTAAAACTACCCTAAGTATTTTCGGTAAACAGTGTAACAATATCATGTGTATTAAATTTTCAAGCATCAAGCAGATTCATACATTCTCACATCATGAGCTTACATGCATAATCATTCCATATTTGGAATTTGCATTTCCTAATATGGTAGGATGAAAATACCCTGTAAAATATATTGCAAAATTACTGCACACTGTAAATTAGGGCGTTACGGTGACAGATGTATAATAATATCCATTATTGAACACTTATTTGTCTTTATGACTTGGTGAATTTTCAATCTCGCTGACACTCTCAAATATTCAGATTGCGAAATTGAATATTCTTTCTGAATCAATATTTAGTTTTCATTGATAAACCCTGTGATTACATTCTGTCCACTCAGAGAGGTTATTATTCCAGAGCACATGGTGCTTGCAGGGGATTTCATGGTTACCAGCGTAATTATTAAATCTTGAACACTATTGAAGATATAGACATTCAGCACATGATCTGATCAACATATTTAATATATAGTCATGTGACCTCAGTAAAAATGCATAAATATCATATCTGGAGCAGTTCAAATCGCAGATAGATCCATTCAACCAGTGCTTTGTTTGATCCTCCAAATTGATCTTACAGTATTGCTGACTGTTTACCAACTCCTTCCTTCTAACAACTGAAGTGGTCAGTTTTGGCTCACCATTATTGGCACACCACAAGTTCTTTGACATTTACCTATTCCAATTTTGAATTAAATGTACACCCCTCCTACAAACTGCTTGGACCAATCATGATATAAATGATGGTGGATCTTCCATCGCTGCTCTTTCTCTCTCTCTTTCTCTATTTGCACCGACATGAAATAGTTTCTTGTATTATAGGGGGAAAACCCCAAGCCAGTAGCTGGTTTCATTGCTGGTTTAACTGCGCCACCAGGAAGACGAATGGGTCATGCAGGTGCTATTATTGCTGGAGGTAAAGGTGGTGCCAAAGAGAAAATCAAAGCCTTAGAAGATGCTGGAGTTACTGTCACTATGTCACCTGCACAAATAGGAAATACCATACTTAAGGTAACTGTGTAGAGCCAGATTTTTATGGTTGGTGATTATAGTTTTAACTTTCGAGTGTAACACAGTGTGCTCAAATTTCATGTAAACGAACAATTCAGTTTTACACTCCATTTATATATACAAGTCGGGGGTCTATATCGAACTCATTGCTCTGTGCAATTACTACCCTTCAAGGAGTGCCTTATTATTTCAACAAAAGGATATTTTTAAAGCACTGGTGACAGCGATATTACATCATCAATGTAGCAAATCCTCGAAGTGAGAATAATACTTCATACACTTGATAGAGCCTACAATACTAATGATTTTATAGGTGGACAGCAAAGAAATATTCATATGTGTACATGACATTTTAATAAATAACATACTTGCATGTTAGCTTTTTGAAGGTTATAAATTGAATTTTGGTGATTTGCTTTTTGCTTGCATTGAGCTGTTTTAGACTTGTAGAACCAAATGCTTCATGCTATTTCCACTCCATGATCATCAGTTGCTGCTGCAATGCATGTAGTATAGCTACACCAAGAATATTCTCTCATTTATGTGATCCAACTTACCTTCTCTCATTAATATGAGGTTATTACAAGGATATTGCAAAGTATGCACGAACAAAGTACAGTGGGAGTATCGACTGATGTGCAGTGCAGTGGAGGTGGATGTGATCTTGTACTGTTTGAATGGTATCCTCGTAATAACGTTATTATATTATTATACACCTTTTCCTCCTAAGGATTCATCATGGGAATGCCGGAATCCCAAAAAATTCCATGCCTTTTTCATGAATGAAATGCACAAGTTAAATTCCAAATACAGTACCATGGGGGCTGCCATGTTTGTTTTTATTATTAGCGAACGCTTACACACGTACATGTAATTGTTCCATATTTGGAATTCGCATTTCCTAATATGGTAGGATGCAAATACACAGTGAAATACCACAAACTTACAGCACGCCGTTACTCATGGCATTACAGTGATAGATGTATAATAATAACTATTATTGACACTTATTTTTCCTGATTACTGACAATTTCTGATACGTTTATGATTGCAGGAATTGGAAAAAGCCGGGAAAGTGTAGCACCTCATTCTTCTGGTACCATCATTTTATTTCCTGGATTAACCTTAGAAAAAATTCAGCTGTAATATATGTCAATCATTAAGTTATTGCAGTTGCAAGAATTGTTTGCAAAATTGTTTTTGCCCCCATCGTCTGTCTTGTTAACTTGGCCATGGCAATGCAATGCAATGCAGTGCATAGGTTGTTTATTGAACTATATATTCGTCATGAAATGACACTGAATTTGTATCTTCACTAAAACTACTGCATGATATTATTCAATATGACTTGCATTGTATTATTTTACACTGAGTCTCAGGAAGAAAAGCAAGCTTTGTCATTGCTAATTTGTCCCTTCTCCCAGTTATTTTACTTCTGAGTGGTTGTACCAATATTGTTTGCAGTAAAATTAGTTGGAATTGCATGTATAACAAATAAGTTGATAACTAATGTACCAATTAAAAAAACATGTAAATATATATTGATTGCTCCTGAATTACTGTATGTGTTTATGAATGCTCTCTACTCTGCATACATTGTTTTTGACTCCTGTGACAGTCTTTGCTGTTAGTGCATCTGTGTGTGTACGTGTGGGTGGGTGGGGTGGCATGTGTGTGTGCGCGTGACTTTCCATTATATCTCAATTATCATATTTTAATAAAACTTTGTACATAGATGCTCTGGGATAATGTGCAGACCTGATTTGTGTTTAGTTAAAATCTGTACATATTATCCTAATTTACATATTAATTAACCAATTTTAGAGATTTTCGCTTGTTTTTCATGTGTTACTGAACAGATTTCAGTGAAACTTGATACATAGATAATTAAATGCTGTTCCAGAGCAGTAGTCCTCAATAAGTACTCATTTGATGATCAGATACAAGATGACTGAATCTCAACCATTTTAATGTTAACAAAAAATCTTAATTGAGCATCAGCTTCTGGATCCATATTGCTAACATGTTTGTGTCCCAACTATATTGCTATAAACAAAACTATATATCTTAAATTTGATAACTAACGGGGACTGTGCCATGCATAGCTTGTTTACTAAAATTTCATTCTCATAACCAAAATTTATAAGATCACTAACAGATTTGCGTGGTCTGAGTTAAAGCCAAACTGTGTATAGGCTGAACTCTGGAGATGCGAACTAGCAGATATTTCAAACTATATTTTGTATTTCCACATAAAATGAAAGAAGATGGTTTTTCGAGCACAACTCAGTGTTGTGTAGTATCGCCCACAGAATCAACAAAGGGAGTTCATTCACTGGTAGATGTGACCCGACCCTGCATTCTTAGTTAAATGTAGACAGTGGCTATAAAAGGTCTGAAGAAGTATAAAATACAACTTTTATTCACAACAAACACAAAAATAAAAAATGCTGTCACAAAATAGATTTGAAGATGCACCCTAATTAAAATTAAAATTAAAATTTTATGTTAACAATACCTGATAATAGTATAGCCTGGTCTCGCTGTGACGACTAGCAATGAAACAAAAGTGTGGCTCATGTTGGCATGGATGCATTCGTAATGTTGATACAGCTGAATATTAAATCGTATTTTCTGGTCGCCATGACAACATTTCACAACCAGGCTGTGATAATGGTTTTGCAGCTGTTTCTGTTGTCGATTACATCAGCGCTTAATGCAAACAAAATATCGCTACCAGTCACGAAAATCTGAACGTTTGTTGGCAGACAGTTACTCTGATATATGAAAGATAAGCACACCGGAAGAGTACACACCACGAAAAATATTGAAATCGTGTAACAGGATGCCCGAAGAAGATAAAGATGGCCCCAAAATTTGCACACTTTGTTTACGCAAATTAAACACTGCAATAAACAGATGTTGACAAATTATCCGAGAGGGGGGGGGGTACTTGCAAAAAATACTGACAGGTGTGTGTTTGAAACCCCTACCCGTTATCAGACAGAAATAAACTCAAATTGCCTTCCCCTTTTCAGATAAACTGGATATTTGACACTTCTTTCCAGACAGTAAGCATAAATGGTACCAAGGGAAAAGCAGGTGAGCTTAAAAGAAAAAAATGCAAAATGCTTTGACGATCGAAATGAAGTTACAGAAAGAAAAAATCAGCTTCATTCTCCTGATTGTTGGATCACTCAAGCTCCAGATAGTCTTTGGAATATATGGACCCATTTTCAGGCAGAAATAATGAAAAAAGGATACCGCTTAAAAATAATATACCCCTTTTCAGACAGAAGTGGTAAATGTGGGACCACTTTTGGCGGCACATGTACATATAGCACTTCAATGTGAATTATAAATCAAAAGTATCTGACACTGCACGCGACAAGAGAATAATTAAAAGTGTCACCAAACTAACAATGCATTCCCCCAACCGTCACTAGTGTCAACTTGCGATTTCGAGGTATGTGTGAGACTCGAAATCGGTACGGCGCATTTCCCAAAATAATAATTCTCCGCCCCAAGCCATCATTCTGCGCCATCGAGAAAATTTATATTGTGCTCCATTCTGGGTTCAAGCTTTTTAAAAATGTAAAGTTATAGACTCCTAGAAAATGTCGATGAAGTTACGGCAATGATTTTTAAGCCTGTTTATCAACGCAATCAGCCTGAGGATGTGTTCAAGTGTAATACTGTTACATAACATTTGCAGGGACATCGATAAGTACGAAGCTGTATATATATTTCCATATAGCAGAAAAAAGCGAATCACAAATAAGTCTATAAAAAAGAAATTTCAGTGACAAGATTTTCACCGGACACGTCAAATTTTAATTTGAATGTCACCTAACTAAAACTATGTTTTAACTTTCGCACTTATATAGCTCCTAGTGGATCTTTAACTCGTGTAAGTTTCTATCTGATGATCCCTTCAACTTTATTTGGTAACCCAACATTATGCCACAACATGCACGGTTACAGCCTCTGTATAGTGTTGAGTAGTACAAGTTACGCATGCGTACTCGAGTCAAGTCCGTTGAAAACATTTATAACGACGGTGACGTAAGCATTTGACAAGCTGGGCTGCAGGCTGGATCACGGTTATATCAGGGGGGAAAATCTTTTCTCTGGGTTCTCCACACTTGCCAAGGGGGAATCTCGTCTCGTCTCTATATCTCGTCCCCTTGAGGTATGGGATCGGGAAAGTCACTTAAGCTTTACAGTCAAATAAGACGCACACAACGAAATACGTTTCAGCTCTCGTCTTAGTCGGTCAATCGAGCACTCTATAAGACACAGCGCCCTGGGGAAATATCCCCAAGACTATCGCAAGGCTGGCCCAAGACTCTCTTAGACTGCGTCAACACTCGCCCCAAGGCTCTCCAGGACTAGACTCTCCATTGCGTCTATCGTGGAGTATTCGCCAAGACCAACTCAAACTCTCTTTATTCATTTTCAAAACTCTAACCAATTACAAAACAGTAAAAAGACTCTAGGGCATAACTTTCAATCATAAGGCCAATCACACTAAGTACTGAATACGTCATATGTTTTGATTAATCGTTCACTACATTAATAACTATGGAAACCAACTGTCAGAATTAATAGTCAGAATAGCGACGGTTATCTCGTAATTAGTTCCAAATATCTGAGCCAAGTTCCGTCCAAAACTTCAAATAGGCCTAAACGATGACAGACATAACACAGCAATTCGCTAATAATCAGCTAATTAAGTCGGTTAACAGATACGCGAAAACAAATTCATGACACATCCCTTCACCCAAACTGAGAGATATGCCTCCCGGCATTGCACGTTCACAAATCAATGATACCGTCAGCCACTCGTCGTCATAGGGTTAAATACAATACATTTGTACTAATAAAAGGTATAAATCAAAAAGAGTAAAACACACTAATTAAGTACAATGATTATAAGTCTAAATACAATGGTTATAAAGTCTCAAATATCAACGGTTATAAATAAAAAAAAAACAAGGGAAAGGCTACCAATCGACTCACTTTTCTCAAACAGTTCGCTGAGGTAACATACAGAGATAAACATTGAAGAGCGTGGCAGTGAGTCATTTATAAATGTCTGTTTGTTTTCTTACGCGCATTACAAAACGCAACGTTTCAAATTGACTTGTCACAGTACCTGTATGATGTATAACCTGACGTCAAATCGCGATAAACCACACACAGTGCCCCAACAATCGATTATGAACAACACAAAGTGTATAAACATCGGGGTGCGTTTAGAAGTAGCATCCATAAGTTTTAAAATATAGCTTGTTCGTTTTATACGAAAAGAAGAAATAGTGTTTTTCCTATTTGATGTTAAAATGAAGATTTTCCCTCACAACATACTAGTATTGACAGCATCTATGTAACGAGTTTTTGCGAATACAGCCACAGTAGAGTGGCACAGAAAGCAAATATCAACGATATATTTTTCTTGATAGTTACAGACAAACAAATCTAAGTATCACCCTGCCATGGCTGCGTTACTTGCAATTGTAGCCATGGCAACAAACTGAACCCCTTATCCGCCATGATGAGGCTGAAGCCAACACTCTCTGTTAAAGAACCAAGGAACAAACACACAACAACAACTGCTGCGCACATAAGACATGATAGTATCTGACCATTTGTTGTCAAAATTCCCGGCGATATTGGAAGTTGTTCCAATGTACCGCATGTACATGCAATAATGGTTCGGACAGAGCCACATTGTAACAAGCTACGCACTTATACAAGTGTAAATATCCCATGATCTAGCCGTTATTGCTGTGCTCTAATCACTGTGAGCAAGTGGCGTGTTTTGACATACTATTACAAAAATGTTGTGAATAGGGTTATGTATATTGATTCAATAAGGTTTTCTGGAACGTACGTACGTTCCATCAGATGACGTACGCCTTTCCATCAGATGATTTAACAAGCGATTTCGGATCTTTCTACCACTTCCATAGTTGTTCTGTGTTGACAACAACCTCATTATCTTGGCAACATTATACTAATATTTATTAATCCGCTACCTCCTCCTAGGCCCATACATATAAAAAACAGACAACAGGCAAAAGAATATTAAGGACGTGGTCAGTTAGCCGCAATTCAGTCTGGACATTTCAGGGATGCTGGCCGAAGTTAAATAAGACGATAAAGAATGATTAGATTTTTGATTTTGCAGAACATTTGTTTTGCTACCAGACCTGAATCTTGACGAAGTAGAATTCAATTATAGATCTTGTGCCCATAGAATAATGAGTTTGAAACAATACTTCGTCTAGGTTTCAAATATCACCCCACATATAACAAAGACCACACAAGGACAAGAAAACAATGTGTCGAATGTAAACCTAAATGAATACGTGATATTATTATTATTCATGGATATGTCGTTGTGTATCACAAGTGTTCGCATCATCCGACCCAAAAACTTAAAACGTAAACAACAAACAATTTCTCGGACTAGATGGAATCACATGACCTCAGAGGCGACTTGAACTTGTTGAAAAGATAATATCTTCGCCAAA